GAATCAAAATCCACAATTTTCCAAAATTTCATTTAACGGGCTGTATCTCTTTCGTTTTAAGTCGAAATTCAACTTTTTGCATAGAAAATCAAATAAATTGTGCTCTTTGACATATTTTGGAAAAAATTGAGGCATATATTGCCAGTCTATAGAATGATGATAATGCTTGCTCTTGCGTTGCCCCTCCATGTGATGTCCTGCTTTAAGCTGCCCCTGTCTCTGTGCCGCCTATTGGATAGGCATGTGGCCCGTTTTTGGTGGGGGTGGAAGGGGGGCGATCACGAATTAGGTGGGTCTCCTGGCGTATGATGTGTACGAGTAAGCATGATGGTGGTATGGGGTTCCGTAGATTTGAGCATTTCAATCAGGCTTTGTTAGCTAAAATCGGATGGCAAATCTTATCGGAACCTCAATCATTACTCGCTCAAGTCTACAAAGGTAAGTACTTCCCACCTGGGAACTTCCTCTCTGCCTCAGCCAGGTCGCGTCCTTCTTAGGGATGGCAGAGTATCCTATTTGGCCGTCAACTGCTGACTCAGGGCCTAAGATGGCAAATAGGGAATGGCCAGACGGCTTCTCTGGTCTCTGATAGTTGGATTCCGCTCCTCCACCCTGCTGCCCCTACGTTTAGTCCACAAGTCCTTCTGGCTGGGGAGGACCTGAAGGTGGCTTCGGTAATCTGTCAGGGAGAGGGCAGGTGGAATGAAGAGGAAATCGGCCGTTGGTTTGATCCAGTCACATGTAAAGCCATTAAAGCTATACCTCTCCCTCGTGCGGATATTGAGGATAAGTTGATTTGGCATGAGGATGGGTGCTTCTCGGTCAAATCGGCTTACCACTTGGCGGTCTTGCTGGATAAAAGAGGTGGTTGGTGGAGGTCTAGAGTATGTTGGATGGACAGGCCCAGTTGGATCCGGTTTTGGAACGCTGATATACAACCTAAATTAAAGGTCTTTTTGTGGCAAATTTTCCGTCGAATCCTCCCAACGACTGAAGCCCTTATTGAGAGGGATGTCGAGGTGCTACCACGTTGCCCTGTGTGTTGGGCAGAGATGGAAACACTGGAGCACTTATTTCTTGAGTGCCCAGTAGCTCGGGCACTCTGGGATCTTTCCGGCCTGGAGCAACTGGGTCAAGGTGTGCAGTGCCAGAATTTCCCTCTGTTCCTTAAACAAGTGATGGTTTCGATTATTGATCAGCCTCAGCGGTTCATGGCGGTAGTGGGGATTCTGTGGAGGATTTGGAGATCTCGTAATTGGGTTGTCTTTGAGGGCAAGCAATTTGGCATCCAGGCTTTGATGCGGCAATTTCAGCAGCAGTATCAGGAATGGGTTGCTCTCCCGGTTGACCGCCCTGTTGCTTCCCTTGCCCCTGCGGCGGCTTTGGTTAATCCTCCGCATTCAGTTATTTGTATGTGGGATGGTGCAACAAGCCCAGAGTCTCATTCGGCTGGGGGGATTGTACTTAAGGATATCACGGGGGCAATCCTTATGGCCCGTGGTCTACACCTTCCGGATACCGATGACCCTTTGGTGGTGGAACTGTTGGTCCTCCGGGAGGCAGTCTGTTGGTGCCAGGGGCTAGGGTTTCTCTCGACGTGTTTCCAAGGGGATGCCCAGGTGTTAATTGATAAAATCAATCGGCCGGATGCACGAGATAGTAGGGTGGGGCCTGTTTTGGATGAGCTTGTCAGGATTTTCTCTCTTCATTCTGGGCTTAGTGTTCAATTTGTAGGACGGAGTAACAATAGGGTAGCCCACTCGGTGGCTCGAAAAGCCCTCAGTTTGTACCCGACTACATGTCGCTTATTTGATTTCCAGGCCCGGCTGGAATCCAGGGTGTAACTTTTGTTTGATCTTCATATTTAATGAAATATCTTTTGTAAAAAAAAAAAAAGATAATGCTTGTAGTACATAAGGTATTATCATGGTGGCATGAAAGTGTAACGTCACAATGTAAAATGATTGTATACATCATAGTAGGGATATACTAATCACTATTTGCCACATTTCAGCACAATCAACCAATTTATCAGCCTATACTGGGGGTTGTATATGGTGGTATATTTGGTCCTGATTTTTTTCCCCATAAATTTCTATATCATGTTGGGCTCGTTCCTTTTGTACAAAAAATTCCAAAATTTGGTGATGTGATACAGGGTGGTAACATGTGGTAACGTGTGGTACAAAAACAATTTCTCGAAACATATAAAAAATATATATATACTTTATAGATCACAATGAGCCCTTCTCATTTGTGGAAATAAATTTTGGATTAATATGATCCGGGCCCAAATGTACACATTTTACCCCTCATTTCTTATTCGTTTAGCTTAGTATTTTATCATTCCTCGACATATTTCACGCTAGGAAGGGTCGAGGTCGAATTTTGGGATAATTGGAGGTCAAAAAGTGCAAAAACCGAAGAAAAGTCCGAAGTCAACCGTGACAATTGCCTCGTAACAGTGAAGTGAAGGTTTCCCAGGAAACAACTGAGTTCACGATCGGACGAGGCAGTTCACGGTCTCCTAGGACCGTGAACTTCGACCACAAACCGTGAACACCGAGGCGTCCAGCGAGGTTCCTGAAGTTACTGACGAGTGACGACAAGGCAGTTCACGATCTCTAAGACCTTGAACTGTGGCCATTGACCGTGAACCCAGGAAGCAAGGCGGTGCGTTTTGGAGACGACTGAGTTCACGGACACGTTTAGGTGTTCACGACCGTGAACTGGCCAACGCGTTTGTGAACTGATCACTTTCGGGAAAATATGAAGACAGCAGCGGGGAGAGAGAAAGGAGAGCTAGTTTTTGGAGAAGGAACACTTTCTTTCTCTAGGGTTTCAACCCAAAACACCAAAGGGGAGTTCTAGTGAGAGAGAGAGAGAGAGAGAGAGAGAGAGAGAGAGAGAGAGAGAGAGAGAGAGAGAGAGTGCTAGAGTGATCTTGGAGCATCATTGGAGGCTGGGGTGGAGATTCAAGCCTAGAAAAAGAAGAAGAAGAAGATATTGAGCTCAAATTTGTAATCACTCTCTAGAAACTCACTCTTTTCTCTTGGGTGTTGTAGATCCCTAACTAATACTTTGTAATTACTTGTTTAGATGGAATATAATTATTGTTATTGGGTATTGTTTAATTCAATGACTAAATATTATTCCTGTTGATTGTGCATGCTTGTGCTTAGCAATCTAAGGGTTGTGCATAATTGTGCTTAGCATCCTTAGGTTTGTGCATGTTGGTGCTTTGCAATCTAATTAGCCACTTTAACCTAGCTTAGAGAGGAAAATCCCCCTTCCAAGGGAGACTCAATCGAGTTGGTTTTCCTTTAGCTTTTTAAGCCACCTAACTAGGTTAATTTAGGGCAAACCTCAATGTTGAATTAAGTAAATCGGTTAAGCGTGATTAAGCTGTCTAGCCCTTGAGTTGAGTGAGTGAGTAAGTCAACCACTAATTGCCTAAACCGAGAGGGTCGAGTGACAAGGCCTATAATGTTCACCTCGGTTTAGCAATTGAGATTGTGGTCTACGACTATATATGCATCCCTCTCCGGTTCGCGGTTACCTTGCCCATAGCAATCGTTCCAATACAACGAGTCTTGGTAGCTAGTTAGGGGGAAGCAACTCCTGGTTGAAGCTCCCTTAGTTAGACTTTTCCTTGCTAGTTTAGTTTGTAGTTTTCTTAGTTTTAAAACCCTAAACCATTTTGCTAAAAAATAACTTAAGTGATTGAAGTAGGGGTACATGGACCAGCCCGGGTTGACAATTTAAATACTTGCTCTATAGTCTATACTGCACCCGACTATAGTTTAAAAACTTGGACTCTAGTCGGGATTAATTTGTGGTGTAGTTTCATGCGAGAAATAATACAAAAAATATAGAAGCCAATTAAAAATGTATGAAAAATATAAAAAAATCTTTTAATCTCACCCCTTCCCTTAGATCTAGTCCCACTCAATAACAAGGATCCAAATTTAATTGTGCACTTGTGAAAACCATGATTATACTCTATCCCAAACCATTTGTCACTATTTTTATTTTTTTACAAAAGATAATCTTGTACTGATTAAAATGAAATCAGACAAATTACAACCTAGGATACGACTAGAAAAGAAAATCAAAAGACCGACATATCGTCGGATACAAAGAAAGAGTCTTTCTAGCCACCATATGAGCTACCCGATTGCTACTCTGACATACAAATCGTACAGGAAGACCATTAAATTTCCCAGCAAAATACGAACTTTCGCAAGAATGATTAATTATCTTGTACACCAAATTAAAAAAAGACAAATTTGACGTAAAAAATAATAGAATAACATATTAGAAAATATATAATAAAGAGACAAATTATGATATTAACTCAAAACAAAACAACCACCCACCTAGGGATGGTAATTTCGACCTGGTCCGTTTTACCCGACCTGTTTGGCCTGTTTTGGGCGGCTCCGACCCGCCCCATAGGCGGGCGGGGCGGGCATCTGTACTCTCATCAACCTAACATGCCCTGACCCGCCCCATTCTCGACCCGTTCTTACCCAAATTATATGTAATCTTAGTCAAATTATTTAGGATTTTCCTTTTATTACATCATATTTTAGCTACAATAAAGTTGTAAATTAGTGAAAGACTCAATTTCTCCAATAATTTAACTACATTTATCACAATATGGTTTGTTTTCTTGGTCTTATAATGAAATGAACGAATATTTCTGATGTCTTCCATATAAATAGCATAACCATTGAGTCGACCTGTCACAACCCGTGACCCATAATAAATTACCCGACCTGCCACGAGACGGATATAGGTAGCATGATACAAGCCCGGACATGTCCCATCGCCATTCCTACCCACCCCATCTAGTCTCCAAATAGTTTTGCCTGCCTGGCCCAGAGCCAACCAAGCCTTTCCCGCAACGCAACCATAACCGGTTCCGTTGCTGCCCTGTCAAACTCCGTTTCTGTGTTAATTTTGGTTGTCATTCAATTACTCTGCATATATAAGGAGCGCAATACGTTAATCAAGTCATGAATCATCATAACAAACGAGAGGAGAGATCTCTAGAATTTTCTCTTGTTGCGAGACAGCTCAGAGAGAAAGAATCAGGGCTTGTTCGTATTTCCTAATTTGCGATTTTTTCGACACCGCCGCTCGCCCTCCCTCCTTCTTTCCTTTTTCCCCGGCGTTCCCCGTCGTCGTTGTTTGCTGCGTAATCTCTCTCTCTCTCTGTATCCTGTTCATAAGGAATTGGAATCTAGCTAGGTTGAGGTTCTAGATCTAATCGGAAAAATCAACCTGACTGGAAATAAAACTTTACGCCAACTCTTTGATTGATCATACTTTGATTGAAATTGAGGGAGAGAGTCAGAGGGGGGGAAGGAGGGAATCTGCCGATAGAGAATATGAAGCGATGGAGGAAATCGAACCGGGTAACTTGGGCTCCTGACGTTAGACTGTCTCAGGTATCATAATAACCTCTGCAATCTGAACCCCCTGCATCAATCCTACGTCTTTTCCTTGTCTGGATTTTTTGTTTGAATTGACGTTGGCTCTATATTCGATCCTTCTCTTCAACCGGGGATTATTTTACACTGAATCGGAAAATCGATACTTTTGATATATTTCTCATTCTCGAAGAAAGATCATTGAATTTGAACACCAACCCTTTAGTACACTGAATCGGATTATTATATTCCCGATCATCATTCATATTGAACATGTAAACATGAACTCAATTAGGCCAATATTGTATGAATCCCGTTAAGAAAGGCAATACCCAACAGAACCAGGGGGAAAATACAGCTCTCTCAAATATGAAAGAGGGAATTGTACAATTTATGTGGGTGATTCAATGACCCATTTCTGATTAGCTATGAATCTCAAACACGATGAGAGGAAAAGAGATGATAGGTAGCATAGACGAGTGGACAAATAAAAATTAAAGGTTGGATTTGGAGTCTGGTTCATCCATCTAATTCTCTGATTAATTAGTTTCGGAAACATGGTGTAGTAATGTGTTATCATTGGTTACAAGAGGCCATTGAGATCCAGGCACAGCAATGCAAATATTATGTGTTTGCATCCGTGGTTCTGATGTTTTGTTTATGGGCGTGTCCTTGAGCTTGCATTATGTTTGATGAACTCTCTCTGTCGTGCTCATATGGAAATGCAGCAGTTCGTAACTATGGATAATTGTTGCTCTTTTGTCTTTGACATGGGATTGTGTTATGAAACAGGTGAAGCTCTTCTCAAGAGATGATTGTCCTTCAAAAGTAGGAAACCAAGCTCAATGCCATGTCAAACACAGGGACAGGATACCCCGTGGCATACTGCAGAATCCAAACAGCCGAGAATTCAGTGATCTCCCTCCTCCTGGGTTTGAGGACAGTCACTCGCAATTTGCTACATTACTACAGTGGAAGTGCCCTCCCAAGGTTAGCATATAATATAGCCAACAACAACTCTTCTTCTCCTCTCACTAGGAATAGCTTCTGATATTTGAGACATTGAATAGAGAGTGTTAATTCAGTCATCCTTTTGAAACAGTTTGGATTGAGCTCTCGGTGGTGCGTCGCTGCTGGAGAAGAAAGCCAGGAGATGAGAGCTCAGAAACAGAGGGAAATGAGTTTGTTTGAAGCTGTTTATCCACGTCTCTCTGCCGTCCCGCCCAAGTAAGCCTTCATTTACCAATCCCAACTCTGATGCAAACGCTCAATTGGAATGTGTGGCCTCACAAGGGTTTTCTTCTTCTTCTTTTTTTTTTCCTCCTGCTTGCAGTCCATGCAATTTATTGAATGCAGAATGTGAAAAGGCTGATGCTTGCGTCCCCATCATCCCTCTCACTCCTGTTGAAGAAGACGCTGAAGCTTTAGTTCCACCCTCTCCTATGAAATGCCAACCACCACCATCTGCCCATGAATCTGCTAACCAGATTAGCAAATTTTCACCTCCATCTGACTTGGTGGAAAAGAAACAGGGACCTGCTGGAGTAGCAACAATACGACATCAAAATCCGGCTGCCGTGAGTATCGCTGCTTCAACTTTAGCCGCTGCAAATGCAGCTTCTATTGACACCGATCTGCTAGTTAGAATCTTGAATGACCCCGACATGATCCAAAAACTAGTTGGAGATGGCACCACCACTGCCAGGGCAAATGATGAAATGGCCAACCCACCTAACCAGCCAATGCTTTCTGCTCCTGTAACACCTCCCGACTCCAATTCTGGACTGATTTTCCGCCCAAACCAGGCGTCTATTGCTGCACCCACTTACATTCCCAGGTCGGACCCGATCTATCCCGACCTGAATCGGGTTCAACCTGTGCCTCCTAATGTCACCAACCCAAACATTATGCGGGTCGAACCGGCCGCTGGACAACCTGTGAAGGACTTCGACTACTTTAAGAATCTAATAAGGGAACACGGAGCAGACATGTCGAAAATGCATTTTGGAGCGGTCCCAAAACAATCTTCTGCTGCTGCTGCTGCTGCTGCCATAGATTATGGCGAAAACAGAAAAATGAGGGAGGTAAATGCGAAATTCCAAAAGGCGTGCATGTACTTCAAAAGTTCGAGGGGTTGCCGCAGTGGCGGAAACTGCCGTTACCGGCATGACTTGTCGTTTCAGATGCACACATGGTCTGGATTGGATGAAGCTCCGTGTGCCAAGAGAATGAGATTTTTTAATGGACAAGTTAGTGGAAGAACGTGATAAAAACGATTTCTCGTTCTTAAGTCGTTCTAATCTGTAGGGTCTTATTTGAACAAATAATCGAGTTATTATATTCATTTCAAACAAATCTTGCATCATTTCGGGAAGGACACTCGTCGTAATTTTGCATATCTTTATTGAATGGGTAAGACATAATAGATATGGAAAATATTTACAGCGAGTTATTATATTGACGAATAACAGTAAAACAGTTTTTCGAACGTGAAAGTCTGTGTGAAGCGAGAAAGATTTTGTAGATTGGAGAGTGCATCAATTTACACCTATTGCTCTTCGAAACCATCCTAGACAAATGATACTGGAAGATTAGTAGTATATTATTTTAATGGTGCAATCATAATTCAATTGATAGCATATCAATGAAGATATCATTTTTAATTAAAGTTCCATCCTCGACGTCTTTTGCCTCGCCTTCCCAGCTAGAGAAGAGTGAGCAGAGGTTTCATTCACCGGAGAGGAGGGTGTGATTTGAGAGGAACTTGGAGAGAGGTTGCGGTTTACAACAATCCAGCGTTCCTCGCCTTCTTTGAACTTCGCCATTGGTTGGAGCTCGTCGGAAGTTGTTAATGGAGTGGTTAGCTCAGAATTGCAGGGATTAGGCGACAATGGAGGCGAAGATGGTTCAAATTAGAAGACAAAGAGAGGGCTAGAGGGATAGATTGGGTGACCAAAAATCACGAAGCATGCCCAATCGTCCGTCGCCGCCTCCAACAGATAGATTTGCGCGATCTGGGGTTTTTGAACGATGTGTTCCAGATCTGCTTTGATCCGACGAGCGTTGCATGGATCTGTTTCCGGTTCCCCCAATTGAGAAGAAGATGAAGTCGATCGCCGTCGATGTCTTTCATCTGCGTCCTCTTACACTCATCTATTTCCTATCCCACCAAAAAAGAAGATGAAGTCGTCATTGTTTCCGATCCCACCAACGAAGAAGATGAAGGATTGTCTTTTTTTTTTGTACCATTATTATTTTAATCTATTCATTTTTCATTAAATAAAAATTGTTGGGTAAAATATGTGGCATAGTCAAACCTTTGATTTTTTGCCAGAGCATCAAACCAATCCATCTCATTTAATATTTTGCCACCTCAGAGTCCACTAACAATTGACCGAATGGAAAGTTAACGGTTTGGCTAATAAACAAGGTTGTCAACCCGCGGGTTCACCCGGACCCGGTCGAGCTAGTGGGTCAAGGGTTAATGGGTCAACCGTTTTAGCTCGGTTTGGCCCGGAAATATGGAAAAAGTCATTATATTGTACTTATCCTCATAAATTATATCAAATCTTATCTAACATATGAGTTATAACATATAATATTACACTAAAATAACATATCGTATATAGATCCAACATATAGTGAAAATTCACACTCACTTATATAACATAAATATTCAAATGTTCAACTTAGCATTCCAAAAATTGAGCTAGGCGAAAAGAAAAATCGGAAAATAGGTGCATTTCGCAAACCAAAGAAAAAAATGAGACAATTTGACCTCCAATCCGGTACCTTGTAGCGGTCGGCCCGGCGGGTGCGTGTGGCCCGTTTTTCTCACCGGGTCAGGGTCAAAGTGGGTCGACCCGCGGGTTGACAACCTTGCTAATAAATTAATTTCGAAAAAATTTAACTATTATTTTGTTTAAAAAATAAAAATTTGGCTGATAAATTATATTTACCCAAATTAATTTGCACCTCAAATCAACTTGGGTGATATAACAGCCAAACGACCCCTTAGATCTAATTTTTTGGAAGGAGAAAGAGATCCAAATTTGCACATGACGTGAACCTAGTGCTAAAGCCTGAAAGTGTTTCATTAAGCATCCCCGCCCGATTACGGTAAGCTTGACTTTTCTATTCATTTCCAGCAAACAGATTAAAAACCAACGTCGATTGCCCACTTACCGGAGGAGAAAGTAGTAATTACGCGCCCCCTTCCTCATTAACCTCAAGAAAGAAACTACTCTGCAACATCGCCATTTCCAATTCCGCCTATAAATTGAAATCCCTCCACCATCCCCCCCAAAACCGCGTCTTTCGACTTCCCCACTCCGTCAACTGAATCTCAAAACTTCCCCCCTTCTTCCCTCCCCGACCCCTCAAAATGGCCACCGACAGCGAGAATTCCAGATCCGGATCCGGCAATGGCGACGCCGCCGCACTGAAAGTGGCTCTGATCACCGGCATAACCGGGCAGGACGGCTCCTACCTCACCGAATTCCTCCTCGGCAAGGGCTACGAGGTCCACGGCCTCATCCGCCGCTCCTCCAACTTCAACACCCAGCGGATCAACCACATCTACATCGACCCCCACAACGCCCACAAGGCCCGGATGAAGCTCCACTACGCCGATCTCACCGACGCCTCCTCCCTCCGCCGCTGGCTCGACACCATCCGCCCCGACGAGGTCTACAACCTCGCCGCCCAGTCCCACGTCGCCGTCTCCTTCGAGATCCCCGACTACACCGCCGACGTCGTCGCCACGGGGGCCCTCCGCCTCCTCGAGGCCGTCAGATCTCACATCCAGGACACGGGCCGGGCTCACATCCGCTACTACCAGGCCGGATCCTCCGAGATGTTCGGATCCACCCCGCCGCCGCAGTCCGAGGCCACCCCGTTCCACCCCAGATCCCCTTACGCCGCCTCCAAGGCCGCCGCCCACTGGTACACCGTCAATTACAGGGAGGCCTACGGCCTCTACGCCTGCAATGGGATCTTGTTCAACCACGAATCGCCCAGGCGCGGCGAGAATTTCGTCACCAGGAAGATCACCAGGGCCGTCGGCAGGATCAAGGTCGGCCTCCAGAGCAAGCTGTACCTGGGGAATCTCCAGGCCTCCAGGGATTGGGGTTTCGCTGGCGACTACGTCGAGGCCATGTGGTTGATGCTGCAGCAGGAGAAGCCCGACGACTACGTGGTGGCGACCGAGGAGTCGCACTCTGTTCAGGAGTTCCTGGAGGTGGCGTTTGGGTATGTGGGTCTGAATTGGAACGATCATGTGGTGATCGACAAGAGGTATTTCAGGCCGGCGGAGGTGGATAACTTGAAAGGCGACGCTGGCAAGGCGAAGCAGGTGCTGGGATGGAAGCCCAAAGTTGGGTTCGAGAAGCTGGTGAAGATGATGGTGGATGAAGATGTTGAATTGGCCAAGAGGGAGAAGGTGCTGGTTGATGCTGGTTACATGGATGCCCAGCAGCAGCCTTGATTTCCATTTCGCCTACTTATTTATGGCTTCACAGAGTTGGGAGAGTAATTTACATTTGCCTTTTGAGTTTTTAAAACTTGTACCTTTTGTTTCTTTGGTTTCGCAGAGGTTTGATTTTGTTTCACCATTCTCAGATTAAATGGCAGTGATAAAAAACTTTCAGATTCCACCTGTGTTCTGTCGTCGTTGCATTGCTTCATTTCTGCAATGAGAGCCGTTGCTGGCAGTTTATGAACAGACAAATGTGAACGGTAGATACGATCTTGGTACATTACAGTTTCTTTTCCAATGAAAATCTCATATGGTTCATACAGAGCAGACAGCCACTCACTGTACTAAATACATAGAAAAAGAAGCTGAAAAGACTTGTCACAGTCTTCAATTTTACCATTTTCACTCTAGTTAGACAATCTGTATCCATCTGAATCCCCAAGCTGAGTTCATAAATAAATACGATCATCATTCATCAACTAAGAAATCAGAGCCTAGCTTTGATTGGAAGACTTATTTCCATGTAGAGCACTTTCGACAGAACCAGCAGAGGAGCTATTGCTAATGCTTGATCCAGGAAGCGTTGGCACGACGAATGGCTTGACAGAGGAACAAAGGGATTCTGGGCCCTCGGTAGTTATTCTCTTGCATAGCGCATCACAATTGCTGATCACCTCTGTCAGCCTCCCTTTTAACTCACCTATCTCCACCTTCAGGCTATGAACTTTGTACGTACATGCATTGTTCATACGAAGTTAGTTAGAACTGTGATGAAATTGGGAAGGTAGAGATCGATTACTGGCTTTGTGCTAACACACAGAAGAGCCAAAGATTAGGAAGGGAAGATCCGTTTATCTCAGCAGTAATTGGTTATTACCTCCTGATAGATGTTGAGAAGTAGTCCTCATGGTTGAGACTGAGTGATTGAACCGTTGAAGAAGCTTGAGTGCCAAAGCATCCACAACTTCTATCTTGTTTTCAATCTCCTCCTGTAACATTTCCACCAACGAGCAGAACACAAAAGCACTGTCATTGGTGCAAATTAACATCATAAAAGCAGGCTTTTCTCAGTTGAAAGCAAATCTCAGGAGTATATCAAACAGTAGGAAAGAGACTAAACAGAGATTGGACTAGCAACTAGCAAGGAGCTCCAGTGCGTGTCTACTACTGCCGCTGCCAAACTAGCAGTGTGATTACATCAACATTGGTGAGGAACTAACCATCAATCAAATCATTCAGTACAAATCATATTCTACTATCTTGTCGAGAATCAAGTTCTTAATTCGTTCAGAAATCTGTCATTGAACTCTTGAACCAACCGGAAGAGGATACTAGCTAGGGTTTATGTTTAACCTAGGCCAGGTTTTAGGCGCAGAATGGGCCATTGGATAAATGGGAAGCAAACATCTCCATGAGAAATCAAAATGCTGCAAATGCAGCGAGGAGACAAGGACGAACAGCGAGGAAACCCAACCTGATTCTTGCTGATCTCCTGGGTCCGTTCCTCCTGCCAAACACGGTACATTGAGAAGAGGTCCAGCAGCACTTTAGGGTCCACTATACCTATGTTCAGTCCAACAAGGAAACTCCATCTCAGTTTCAAAAGCAAAAAGGGGAAACGGGAAAGGATCCCAAAAAGGGGGAAAATGGTCTACCCACCAGGAGTGGTAGAAGAAGACGGCTTCCTCACCAGAATGTCAGTCAAGCTGCCTTCCTTTGGAGAAGATGTCAGCAGTGGCTTTGTCTGCAGTTATAAATCGCCACAGACAATGTCAGCAGAAACGCAGGAGACCTAATTTTCTGTGTGACCCCAAAAACTTACAATTTTGAGCGATTTCAGCTTCTCAGAGAGGAGATCAACGCTCTCGGACCGCTCTGACACGGTGGTAATCTCGTCGGCGAATTTCTGCTCGCCATATCCAGACCCAAGTCAAGTGTAAGTGGACACGAATTTCAGAAAGAATTTGGTGGAAATATCGGCGAGGAATCAAAACAGTTACCTCCGAGATTGAGAGCGTGGATTCCGAGGCACCCATCTCTTAGCTCCTCCCTCCCGAGATTCGTTGTCCGACAGAACTTCAAACTCTTGAGTGGTAATTTACTTTTCCTGAGCATCGATCTTCCGTTTCCAGGACCTGCCGACGGAGAGGGTAGCTGGAGCTTGACGATGGCCTGTTCATTTTAACTTTTAACTACTTCAACCGAATGTTTGCACTTCGCTGGAGCCTGGAGGCGTGTCCCGGGACCTAGGGTGTGCAATGGTCCGAATCGGGATGGTACCGTACTGGACCAAATCGAAGTTTGGACCGAACCGAGTAAAATGAGGTCCGGTTTTTTGTCCACATGAATTTTACAATTATTGAAGAAATGATGGACCGAATTGATATTTGGATCGGACCGAACAAGATCAAATGGACCGAACACAATGATGGTTAGGTCCTTGGTCCTAAGATGTGTTTCACTAATGGATCGCGGTTCTCATGAGTTTGGTCCGATCTGGACCAAACCAAATCGTTGCATAGCCCTACCGAAACCTCACGCACGGTGGTATTTCATTTCAGGCCGGCCGAGACGGTACCAAGGTTGTCAACCGTGGGTCGACTCACTGGCCCACTTTGACCCTGACACGGTGAGAAAAACGGGTCGTACACACCCCCGGGTCGACCCGCTACAAGGCATTGGACGGGAGGTCAAACGGCATCGTTTTTCCTTTGGTTTGTGAAATGCGCCAATTGTTCGGCTTTTCTTTCGCCTAGCCCATTCTTTGGAATTTTAAGTTGAACATTTATATTATATAAGTGTGTGTGAATTTTGGTGTTATTTTGTGCATTTCAAAGATATAGCACACTCAAGAGGAATACAAATCATCAAGGGATAAGAAGGAATATGAGAATACAAGCTAATGGGCTCAAACGGTGATGAATTTGGACATCGTATGCTCACCTGATGGCCCAAAGAACTACATTTATGAAAGCTGACAAGTCAACTGAAATCTAATTGAGCTTAAATTTGAGGAGTAGCTGACTAAGCCAAGGATGAAGGTTTTCATAAAAAAAATCAGCCCATTTGTAGGAAGAAAAATCTCTACGATGGTGAGCGACGTTGGCCCAATCATGTGGAATCATTCGGAATATGCTTTACTTCATCTCAAGTCAAAATATCCTCATCCCAGTGTATCTTGGCACCTTGGGCCGAGTTTTAGGAGGAAAACCCTAGAAAACCTCATCTTTCTTGTACTATGTACATAGGCTTAGCCTAGAGTTTTTACACACACTTTGCCCTAGTGGGCTCAAGTAGCATCCATAGGAGGAGGTGAATTTATGTTAGAGCTTCATGGAGATGCCTTCATCATCGATGGTGGTGTCATCGATCTCCTTTATGGCCAACTAAGTTTGTGTTGTTTATGGACGTGAATTCTTTGACGCTTTCTATTTATGATTTGATGAGATGCTTTAGACATTTGGTGTCATTTTTATTATATCCTTAGTCATGTGATGGTTATACCAATCGATGCTCTATGTGTTTGATGCATTAACTATTCGATGCTTATATCATCTGTTATGTGCTACTATGACATTGCTTATAAATTATAATATCAGCTAGGTTGTGCATGAAACTACTCCTATGTGATGTGCTATTGTCTTATGCATGTATGTTTAGTTAGTGACATGATTATGCAAGCTTGTATGAGTTTAATGCTTGATGTAGTAGATCATCATTGCCATAGACCATCATTATGGCTCTTGAGGCCCACACTTAACAGTGTGTTATCCTGAGTTCCTTGATTTATTGATTAGTCTAATGGCATGAAGTGAAAGCACGCATTAGCTAGTTGCAGTTCCTCTCGTATGTGGCAAAAGCTCGGTTAGGAATGCTTTAGTGGAAGGGATAGAGTTACATGATAGAAGATGCCTAGATGTATCTTATTAATGAGATTGTATGGATGATCATCTAGATGACGCTACCTAAACAATAACCTTTTATCTTTGCTTTCTCGTTGCTTTTATTATTTCGTGCTTTGTTTATATAGTAGATTGTCTACCAAACCACAGGGAACCTCAACCCATCGTATTTTCTTTTATTTGCATTACAATTCAAGCACAATGTATTAGTTTCAAAGTATTTTCTATCAAAAGACTCGTGGACTATGACCCTAGACATCCCTAGGAAATTTATTACTTCGATTGTAATACTAATACATATTGCACATCACTTACCATAGTGGTAAGATCATGATATGACTGGTGAGATGATATTGTGAAGTCTTACGATAGAGGTGTTGGTATGATGTCTTTTTTTTATAATGTCGTAATATCAAAGTGGTATGATGCATAGTTAGCTTACCATAGTGGTAAGATCATATGACATGATATTGATAAGATTACAAAACGCACACGTGTTTTGAAGGATGATTTGTTTAGTTGTGAAAGATATAGCAAAAATTATATAATTTTGTAGATTATAATTGATGATACGATAGTGATAAGATTGCAAGCAACACGTATTTTGAATGAGTAATTTGTTTTTGCTCTAATATACTAAAATTAATATCATTATGTAGATCATACCTAATACATTCTTTTTATGTAATTATTTTAATTTCGAGTTAAAACATGAAGATATAACCAGATAAAAAGGATTAGAAAAAAAAAAACTTTAACTAGTTTAAAAGCTATCCTCATTGACTTGCTTTGAGGCGGTTCCTTATTGCTCCGTAAGCGGGGCGGGGCAGGCATGGGTACTCTTATTGACATGACCTGTACTAACCCGCCCTATTTTTAACCCGCCTTTGTAGACCTGGCAAATGAGGACCCGACCCGTTGACTCGATCCGAACCCGCCTGAAAAATAGAGAATGGGTCGAGGTTTTTATAACCCGAACCCTATTAACCCGTAGTTTTTGGGTTGGGTTGGGTTGGTTTGTGGGTCGACCCGCTAGACCCGTTCCATTGCATATGTCACTCTCAAAATGATAAAATCACTCATACTTTGGTTAGATGTTTAAAAACATTTATTAGGATTTGAAAGACAGGTTTGAAGTGTTAAGATAATTAAACATCATTTGTTTATCGTAGTAGGATTACTTTCGTCATTGTTTTTTGACAATTTGTGCAATCTCTATTTATTTTCATTAGCATGGAAGGAGTTGAGCATTTGTTAATTGACATGTGCTAGGTAAACTATTGTCGCACATACATAAAAATTTGTTTTCTTTAAAAATTTATGAAGCATGTTTGATATTGTTTCTGAGAACGCTCATGACCCGAAACCCGACCCGAAACTCGATGGGTTGGGTCAATATTTGACCCAGAAATCAACAAACCCATCATGACCCGACCCGTGAAGACCCGTAACCCGAGATTCCTAACCCGAAATTACCCAACCCGACCCGATTGCCAGGTCTACGCCTTTACCTAAGTTACATGTAATTTTACTCAAATTTTAGTTATAACGAAGTTATAAATTAGTGAGAACTTCAATATTTCAAATAATTTAACTACATTTAGCATGTTTTCGTTTGTTTCTTGTGTTTTTAATAAAAAATGAGTATTTCTAATGTTTTTCGTTTATCCTGTAATGAATTACCAAAACTAAATTCGACCATACGAGTACGGAGATATCCTCCCCAACCTGCGCTCATTTCCTACTTGTTCCGTTTGCAACGAAGAAAACCAAAACCAGCGCTGAAGGTTTACTTTTTTTTTTTTTTTTTTTTTTTTTTTGAAAATAAGGTTTACTTTTTTAAGTGGGCGGATAAAATCTTATCCCTCTTTCCGCCTATTGTTTACGCAGTCGAAGGAAGGTCCGTAGATTAGCTTGGTTCTGTACCCGTACGTGGACGTTCTGGATTTTTCCTCGTCACCACGCTGGCAATCAGCTGCACACCAGTTCCACCAATCAGCGACGACGTCTGGGCTCTTCGCTTCGATTTCTGGCCGACTATAAATCGAAAACCGACTCCCCCAGTGACGCCAAAAAACACACACAGCCAAACCCCGATTCTCCCTCAGCTTTGTTTTGCCAGATCGATCGTTGTTGTGTGTTTGTTTCGATTGCTGCGAGCGTAGAGAAATATGGCCGAGAAAACGGAAGAGCAAGTTCAGGGCCCTGTCCCTGCTGTAGCTGAAGCAGAGCAGGTGCCCCCGGTGGCGGCGGAGGAGAAGATTCCGGTAGGGGAAGATCCGCCCGCTGAGGAGGAGGCAGGAAACAAGAAGGAGAAGAAGAGGGAGAAGAAAACTAAGTTGGTTGCAGATGCTGTTCCCAAGGAGAAGAAGAACCCTAAGCAGCCCAAATCTGCCTCTCATCCTCCGTATTTCCAGGTAATCGGACTTGGTTTGGTTTGATTTGATTTGATTTCTTGTGGGTTTTCATTCTTTTTTGGCCTCACAATTCTATTTATTCGATTATATTTTCTGAGATCGGGGTTGATGATGATTTGATTTGAGGCAGATGATCAAGGATGCTCTGTTGGCGTTGAACGAGAAGAGCGGGTCCAGCCCGTACGCCATAGCCAAGTTCATGGAGGAGAAGCACAAGGCGGTTCTGCCAGCGAATTTCAGGAAGACACTTGCTATGCAGCTCAAGAATTCTGCAGCCAAGGGGAAGCTTGTCAAAATCAGGGCCTCCTACAAGCTTTCTGAATCTGGGAAGGAGGAGGAGAAATCCCGTCCCAAGATTGCTCCAACTAAAGCTGCTATTGCTACCGCTACTGCCACTGCCAAGAAGTCGACAGCCACAGTAACTGCAAAGCCCAAGAAGCCTAGGACGAAGACGAGGTCTGTGAACAAGCCCGAGACAGGTAAGAAGACTCCGGCCGCTTTGAAGCCCAAGAAATCGACTCCTGCCAAGGTCAAGCAGCCAAGATCCATCAGGTCCCCAGCTGCTAGGAGGGCCAAGAAAGCCTCCGCCGCTGCTGTTTAGTAGTGCTAGTGTGTTTTTTTTGTTAACTGGATGGGTGTGAATATTTTGTAACAAGGAAATAATGGCGAGGATGCAGCAGGCCGCCTTCGTTCCGGTAGGTTCTATGTGTAGATAAACATGGTGGCTTGTTATGTTCGTGTTTGAGCAGAATATGTATCTTTTTGGGTTCCCGTCGTTTATGGCGTCGGATGGCATATAGCCACTCGCCATGAAGAGAACTTGTGATCAACTCTCTCCGGTGCTTCTTCGACTTCAAAATTTTCATCGGTTTCAATTAATGCTTATTAGAATTCAGAAAAACTAGCGGAGCGGGGTATCGACAACAAGGTGAACCAACCTTGCCGCAGCTTTGCATCTTGCGGACAGTAACTTGTGATATATGTGATATTGTTGATAATTAAAACAAAAAGTTTTAAAACACTATTTTATACAGGAGTGGGCAACGGGACGTGATACTCGTTTGAAACGGTTACCCAATTCCGTTTGAAGAGCAAACTGCATCCAATATTCCAAACGCTTATAATTCCGTTTGAAGAGCAAACTGCATCCAATATTCCAAACTCATAAGAGTTAATGGGTACACGTTACCCGTACAGAACAAATAACATGTACCCAAACTACCCGTACATATAGGGGGAAATCGGTATGGCATCGGTATTCCAATACCAAATACCAAAATCCCGAATACCGAATTACATCCTAAAATCAATCCCAATCCCTAAATAATTTTGGTATCCCAATCGGTACCTCAGTTATCCCAATCGGTATTATCGCATACATGATTAATTACCTTTGTAATTAATAGTTAAATATATAAATTAGACTTTATTGTTTAATTTAGGGTAAAGAGACTAAGCAAATAGTCTTGAGTTGCATAGAGCTAACATCTCAAGTTCTTGTAATTGGTAATCTTTAATTTGACGAATTTGAATATATGATTACCTTTGTAATTATATATGATTAATTATCGAATACATGATTAATTACCTTTGTAATTAATAGTTAAATATATAAATTACACTTTATTGTTTAATTTAGGGTAAAGAGACTAAGCAAATAGTCTTGAGTTGCCTAGAGCTAACATCTCAAGTTCTTGTAATTGGTAATCTTTAATTTGACGAATTTGAGGTTGAGAGACGACTAATACTACTAGTGTGAAATAGTGATGTAATGATATATGTATAATCAAATGACACTTTTGGTGGTTGAGAGTCGCGTAGTAGTGAATGAGAGAGTCTTGTTGAGAGGATAAAATACACACTAGCTTATATTTCGGTATTGATCGGTATTTCGGTATATATCGATCCCAATCCCGTAATCCCTAATACCGAATAACAATTGAAATTCAATCCCAATCCCATGAAATAATACGTGTATTCGGTAATACCAAATATAGATAAATTCGATATGGTATTCGGTATATCCCAAATACCGGTACCAAACTTCCAGCCCTATATACATACCCGTCCAAATGAGAAGGGAAAAATTCTGTAGAGCTAACATACAGCTCAATGAACGTGGGAATTTCAGTTCAATGAACATGCATAACGCTGGATTTTTCAGAAGCTAGATGTATCAGTAATCATTTAGTGATAATTATAAAGCTGAGAAGTTCAGATTAGGGTTAACGGATACTATTGAACATACTATCTTACACTCTGTTTGGGAAGAGGGGTAAATGGGAGGAGTGTGCAAATGTGAGGGGTAAACACAGTTTCCAACACATTTGCACCTGTTTGGTTAATTTGGAACAGTAGGGGGGTGCAAAACGAGAGTGCAAATTTACTGTTTCGGCTTACCCCCCGAATTGGGGTGCAAAGGAAGGAAGGAAGAGAGGGGGAGTGGGGAATTATGGAATTTTGTTTTTCTAATTGTGTTATATATAATTATATAATAATTAATATTGTCAATTTCTTTTTTTTATAAATATCATTAATGTAAACATTATTCGGGGTTGATCATTTGACTCTGGAAACAAGTTTATAAATGTTCGTCAAGTCAAATCTAGATCTCTTGGTTGAATCGAATTTGCATTGAAAATTAGATATACAAGGTGTTTGTGGAAAAGATAGAGAGAAATTGTTTGGTTAACTCATTTTATTTGACTAAATAGTTAAAACTTACAAATTCGAACGTGTTTGACTAAGTTTGACAATTTAAGATTAAACTAGACACGAAAACCCTATATAGGATGACCAGTTAGGAGTTGAGCTTCGAGTTTTGAGATCGCTCAATCAATGATTATTACAATTGTTATAATTAATTATTATTTGAGTATTATTATATAATAACTATTTTTAGTAAAGTATATTTATTATTATATAGCAATATTTATTTTATTATTTTATGATAATATTTATAATTTTAAAATCTATTTTATAATTTTAAAATCTATTTTAAAATAATATAATTACTTACTTTGCACCCCCCTACTTTTTCATCCAAACAACAATTTACCCCTCCACTTACACCCCCCAGCAATTTGCACCCCCCAGTAATTTGCCCCTCAACTTGCACCCTCCTGCAATTTGCACCCCCCTTGTTGCCAAACAGAGAGTTAGTTCGACACGACAGATGCAGAGATACAGTGTGAAATAGAGTGGACATGGCTTTTGGCTTTCAGTAGTCATTTAGTGTCTGTGTAATGCACAATCATGTTGTGCTGAATTGAAAAGGGGTGGAATGAGAAATGAAATGAACCATCAGTTGGATTTATGGTTCAATCAATCGTACGTATGGGTGGGGTGGGATGGAAACTTGGGGGGATTGGGGTTGGTTATGTAATGTTTATTGTAGAAATTCTTCCTAACGGGTACTACAGGTACTCGTATTATCCAAATGGGTATTAACGGGTAACTCGTGGGTATCCGTTGTAGAAATCATTGATCTCAAATCCCATACCGTTAAAAAAACTAGTATTTGGGTACCCGTAATACTAAAAAAACGAAATGGGTATGGGTATACCCAAATACCCGTTTCCCGTTGCCCACCCATAATTTTATAGACTCACCTCACAAAAGTGTTCTTTTTGTAATTAAGACCATCTCCAACAACTCACTCAAAAAAATGCTAAAAATATTAAAATAACTCCTCCAACAAGGTTTGTGTCCTTATGATTAAGGTCTTAATTAATTAACTTATGAAAATTGAATACAAATTTCACCTAATTCGATCCGATTAAAGCGATTTGAACTTGGTGCTGAAGAATTTATTTCGACAATGAGTTTTTGTGCCATTGAGGTTGTCAGGTTGAACCCAAATTCAACCCAAATCAATAGAAAGCGAGTTGAACTCGGTGTTGACGAATTTTTCAAGTTTTGCACGCTTAAATTAATGGGGATTCGACCTAATTCGATCCGGTTAGAGCGAGTTGAACTCGGTGTTAACGAATTTTCGGTCGAGGACGAGTTTACGTGCTTTACCTAATTAATTTAATTATGACAATTGTACCCAAATTCAACCCAAATCAATTGGTATTTGAAGGAATTCGACCCAGTAAAAGCGAGTTGAACCCAACGTTGACGAATTTTGGGTCGACAAAGCGCGTTGAACCCAGTGTTGATGAATTTTGGGTCGACAACGAGTTTTACACGCTTAAATCAATGGGTATTCGACCTAATGTCGACTCGATTAAAGTGAGTTGAACCCGGTGTTGACAAATTTTTGGTTGACAACTAGTTTTACATGCTTAAATCAATGGGTATTCGACCTAATTCGATCGAATTAGAGCGTGTTTAACTCAGGTGTCAACGAATTTTGGGTCGAGTACGAGTTTTACATGCTTTTGTAATTGCCCGGTTGAGTCAATGTGACTTTATTAAAAACTCGTCGTACTTGCCTTTGCTAATATTTTGAACTTTCATTATTTTGTTTTCTTTTTATTAATAAGTGAGTTGAACCCGGCATTAACAAATTTTAAGTCGACAACGAGTTTTACACGCTTAAATCAATGGTATTTGACCTAATTCAACTCGACTAAAGTGAGTTCAACTCGATGTTAATGAATTTTGGGTTGAGGATGAGTTTTGCACTCTTTTGTAATTAAAGGGTTGGGTCGTGGTGAATTTGTTAAAAACTCACCCACTTGTCTTTGCTGTCATTTTAAACTTTAATTATTTATATTTTATTATTTTTGTTGATGCATTTTAGGTCGAAAACGAGTTTTACACTCTTAAATAAATGCCATTACCTAATTTGAGCCGGTTAAGTGAGTTGAACTCGGTGTTAACGGTTTTTGGATTTTCTAACTAATTCTTTTAATACAATTGAACCCAAATGGTATTCAATCTAGTTCGACCTAGTGTTGGCGAATTTTGGATCGAGGACGAGTTTTACACGAGTGCCATTCTTATGCTTCAGTGGAAGTTTGAAGGATTATTTAGGAAAAGTTTGCTTCTTTGCTTTTGCATTTTAGTTATGTTATTTATTCCCACACCCACAAAAACAAAATAATCGACTCGGTTAAAGCGGGTTGAACCTGGTATTAACGAGTCTTAAAATTACTGTTTTATAAAGTCACATCAAAATGGGTAGGAGTTATAGTCGGTTCGATTTTGATTTATTCGAATTGAATTCTTAGTTAAACGGAAACCGATATGCCTCTAAATGACCAACCGACATCGCAACCGATATGCAGATCGGTTAGCCTCAACCGCAACCGCAAATTTCGGTTCAGCTAGAAGGAACACAGGCGGAAATAAAAGGGGGTGGGGCCGTGGGGGAATTAAATGGACACAAAAAAAAAAAAAAAAAAAACAAGGAAAGCAAATCCTCTCCCGTTTATTCTCGATCTCTCTAGCTCTCCCCCTGTTTCCCTCTCCCCTCATCAAAATTCTCACCCTCATCGTTCTTCTTTGTTTTCGAACAAATCAAAAAAATAGTTGGAAATGTAGGGGTGAGCCATAGGTGGATTGGGTTAGTTTTGATCTAAAATTGACCCATTCGTTTAGTAACGATTTGGAATAATTGTGACCCGCAATCTATCCACATTAGTTTGTAGGTCGGATTGGGTAGGTGACGAATGAGTGCGTTTGGGTCTTGGGTTAACCCGCAAAATCGATTCTCCAAGTATCTATTAAGAAATTTGACTAATATTTATAATAAGTTTATAGCAAATTAGTACCATTGTATCAATTTAGACACTTCTCACTTTCTCTAAAGTGAATTCATGTAGCATTTGCATCAAAAAATTTACTACTCTATCCACCAATTGTTTAGAGAAAACTTACGGATTTTGTGATTTTGATACAATTAATAATTTATAGTTTTCATCCCAATATTTCATGGATATTAATTATAATTTGAATTTCAGTATCCAATATCTAATGAATATTACACAACACAGTAACCAATAACAGTAGTCAAAACTATTATTTATTCTCCAC